ACCTCACTTATCCAGCTTTGGGAAGGCTGCATGAGGGCTGCGGGGGTGGGGTGTCAAATTTTGGCCTCGCTCCACCCCCCAAGTGCAACAAGGGAGTGTGCAGTCTGTGGGTTCCATGTCAAAGTACAGTGGTGCCTCGCAAGATGAAAAGAATCCGTTCCGCGATTCTCTTCGTCTAGCGGTTTTTTCGTCTTGCGAAGCAAGCCCATTGACAGCTTAGCAGATTAGCGCTACAGCGGTCTAGCGGCTTTTCGCGATCAGCTGTTAAGCGGGTTATCAGCGGAACAGCTGATAGGCGGCTTGGCGGCTTAGGAAAAGGGGGGGAGCGAAAAAACCTGCGGGGACGCGCAAGATTTTTTCGTCTTGCGAAGCAACCCTATAGGGAAATTCGTTTTGCGAAGCGCCTCCAAAACGGAAAACCCTTTCGTCTAGCGGGTTTTCTGTCTTGCGAGGCGTTCGTCTTGCGGGGCACCACTGTATTCTTGCAGCCCACTTGGTATGAAAAGTTGGGCTGCCCTGTATATTCATCCATGCATACTTTGGTTATGGATTACTATCAAGGAGCATCTTGTATAGGTTTTGAAGGTCAGTTTATAGACATTTTATTCCCATCTTTGAATAAGATGCACCACTAGTGTTTCCCTCCTAACTTGACTGTAAAAAAAAATAAAAATGAAGAAGGGGGAGAATTTAGGTTGGTTGCCTTCTCATTCCGCCTACCTACCCAGCTGGCTGGTCTTTGTCCATGCATTAACAGAAAAAACTAATAGTCACACTGTGTTACTGATAGATTTCAACACCATTTGTCAACTCAGATATGCTAACACAAAGCCATAAGCTCTGCCCTAGGAGTGACAATTTACAAAAGCCAAAGTATCATTCTAGGATGAACTACTTTACTAAACAGCATTTCTTACTACAAACTTCTATCCTAAGAACACTTATTTGGAAGCAAGTCGCATTGAATACAATGGATAAATTTTCAGGCTGTGCATAAACTTAGCAATGATGTATGTACACTACATATTTGTTTACTAATTTGTGTATTACATCAATCAAGTAACATATTATTCTTTGAATCAGTAGTCACATGAGACAACAAGCACAGCTCCCTATAAAATAGTTTTTTTAAGAAACTGTTTACTGAAAGACCGAGCAAGAGATTCTGATAAATCATTGTTCTTAACCTGAATAATTCTCAATAAATATGATTTCAAAGATACGAATGTTATCAACAAGAAATCTTGTTTATCTTGAACAAGGCAGTGTAAAAAATAGTAGGGCTGCAATCCCATGCATACTAATTTTGAAGTAACTCATTGAAATGGACTTGTTTGAGTGAACATGCATAGGATCAAGCTACACTTCTACACAATGCATAAAAATATAGTCTTAAATGAGGAATTGAATACAAGCCATGGAAAAGTGCAAAGTCATACTTAAGTGCATCAGTAATACAATAGCTTCCACACATGACATACAGTGGTACCTCGAGTTACCAACGCTTTGGGTTACAAACTCCACTAACCCGGAAGCAGCTGCTCCATGTTGAGAACTTTGCCCCAGGATGAGAATGGAAATTGCATGGTGGCGGCACAGTGGCAGCTAGAGGCCCCATTAGCGAAAGTGCACTTCAGGTTAAGAACCGTTTCGGGCTAAGAACGGACCTCCGGGATGAATTACGTTCATAACCCAAAGTACCACTGTACTATAGGTAAAAGGTAAAGGACCCCTGGACAGTTAAGTCCAGTCAAAGGCGACTATGGGGTGTGGTGCTCATCTCACTTCAGACTGAAGGAGCCAGCGTTTGTCCACAGACAGCTTTCAGGGTCATGTGGCCAGCATGACTAAACTGCTTCTGGTGCAACAGAACACCGCGACAGAAGCCAGAGCACACAGAAATGCTGTTTACCTTTCTGCCACAGCAGTACCTATTTATCTACTTGCACTGGTATGCTTTAGAACTGCTATGTTAGCAGAAGCTGGGACAGAGCAACAGAAGCTCACCCCATCGTGCGGATTCGAACAGCTGACCTTCTGATCAGCAAGCCCAAGAGCCTAGGTGGTTTAGACCACAGCACCACCCGCGTCCCACCATGACATACAATACATTAGAAAGATTTGACCATAATACTGTTAGAATGATACAGAAAAGTTAGTCATTATAAAAACTTACAAAATTGATGTGGCACATAGAAATAAGAAAGGAAGAGCAATCCAACCCCTGATCATGCCATGTCTGTGGTTGTATTTTTTAAAAAAATATTTTTATTCAGGTTTTTTGTGAGTCAGCCTCTCATCCTCACCAGTCTTTCCCTTCCATCTGTTGAATGAGTGGGTGGGTGGCCTACTGGCAGAGCCCAGCGGCCCCCACCCCCTTCAAAAGGCTCCTTTTGAGAGCAAGGGAAAACCAACATGTAATCCGCTCAATCCCAAACCAAACTCACTGCCACCACACAATGGCATCTGATCTGATCTGGACACAACTGTCCTGCCCCCCTTTCCAGCATGGGCCACTCCATCAGCAACAGGAGCATAGATTGCACCCCAAGACACTACAATGTGGTCAGTATTAACAAGCATGGGGACCTAAGGTGGGACGTAAGCCATGAGCCAGAGTCCTTGTTTCAAATCCAGCTACTTGACTTAAAGATATTATTTGTCAGCAGTGATATGGAGACAACAATTCTACCTACCTTAAAAGATTGTTGTAAAGATCAATAATGTACTTTGAACATTAAAGCACTATGTATATATTCAAAAATATATACATATCAGATATAATTAATGTTATAAGCAACTACAGATATTTAGCATTTAAATTTGCTTTTTCCAAGTACTAATTTTGAGACTTTATTGAAAGTCTAATAATTATACACTTTGCCACTGAAATTCTGTTCATTTTTATTCAGAAGTAAGTGTCATTAAGTTCAAAGGTTTAGTCCCTACCCCAGGTAGGTATGCAACCTATGCAACCTATGGCTGTTTTGAGCTAACTTAGGAGCTTTGCCTCCACCATTCATCCAAAACAGCATTCTGTGGGAGGGGGCAGCGGGGAGAGGCAGGGAAGACACAGAAACTCACATAACCTTTTCTTCACAAAAGAATGCAATTATTATATGACGAATTGTATTCTTTTTAAAAATCATTTCATCACATAAGCTAAGGCAAGGAAAAGAGCTCCTAAACTAAGCCCTCACCAAAAAGGAGAAAGCAGAAGAGATATATATGTGTGTGCATTTGTGTAAATGTTGCCCAAATTTCACCTTATACCAATGAGTTTATATAACAATTGTTGATTTCATTCTAAGTGCCTCATATAGGAGCAATCTTTAAAAACTGCCAGCAGCTACAATATATATGTACAAGTAGAAAAAGCAGGCCAGGGGTTTTGAACCTTCCCAACAGAAGGTAGAAGACATGAGCAACTGAATTAAACATTTCATTCAATCCTGTTCTTTCAAAACTTCAAATTTAATTTGCAATAGGGCTGTTGAGTAATTAAAGGGCTGTTTTTATTTATTTTTTAGTATGTTGTCTGCTTTTAATGATTAAACCTATAATTACAGTATTTCAGTCATGGATGTATACATTGAGTATGTTTAACAAATACAATGCTTTATCTTGACCAAATAAATAGAATTACGTTTTTGAAAATTTCAAACACATTGCCCTATATAAGCAATGCACACACATGTCCTGCATTATTATAAAGCCCAACCTTTCACAAGAAATAGCTTCAGACAAATTATTTTTAAAAATTTCTAACGATTACTCAATTATACTTTCAATTCTACTGGGTCTGTTAGTTGACCACAATGTGATGGACACAGAAGCTGCACTATAAAGCAAAGACAAGCAAAGGCACCATAAGGGGAATCCCAGAGCCTATCTTACAGAGGGAAATTCTTAACGGAGCTTCATCAGGATTTTGCCATTACATTCAGCTTCCGCCTAAGGCTGCATGTACCATTCTCTTCACAGCAATCTTTGACACCTTTACTTTTAAAAAATCTATCACAAAAGATGCGCGGGGGGGGGGGGGGGAGAGAACTGAAGCCAACCTGTGATGTGTAAGAATTAACATTCCCCCACATCTGTGCCTATTCAAATACACATCTCCACAGGGAGCCAAGGGAAAGGTGCACAAAACCTTGTATGTCAAAGCATGGCATAGAATCCGGTTTTCAGCCCAAATTGCAATTTTTACTAACAGGATAGGGAAGGAAAAGCCACAGCACAGAACATGAGTCTGCAGCAAAATTGCATACATAATATTGCTCACACCTAACTCATTGGGGGAGAAGAGATGGAGTGGGGGGGGGGAGAGGGAAGAAAGTCACATGTATGACATACCAGAAGAATAAAAATAGGCAAGGAGAAGCAGCGAAGGAGGAAAAGCTGCCTGGGCTGACTCCTCTTGCCTTCATCTGAAAGCACCACGAGAATACCAAGCACATAAAAGCAGCCCGGAGAGATGGATCATACCGAGGTCTCCAACGCCACCATCACTCCCAGAACAACATATTAATGGATGCGGGGGTCTGGCAAGCCCTTGGTCTTGCTGCTGCTGCTGGAAATAGAGGCGGTGGCGGCTGCACTTGTGGAGTGGCGATGGTGGCAGGGAAAATACCCCTAACATCAACCACCAGAATAACCCCCCCCCCACTTTAAAAAGAAGCAGCAGCCCTGTGGGGAAATGGATGGTGAGGGGAGGGGAAATGCCCAATGGGACTTGCGCTTCGGTTGGGGAAAGGGAACAGCAGGAAGGGAATTTGGAGGTGGTGGGGTTTGGGGGGGGGGAGAAGAGAGAGGCGAGGAAGTAGGCGGCATCTGTGGCAACTACGGCGTGTTCTGGGGGGCTGAGGGCTGTGGGTGGGATTTGAAAAGGGGGGCGGTTATGGGAAGGGGGAGGAGGCGAGGGAGGCTGAGGGGAAACTGCAATGTGGGCGACAGGTGGGGCAGGTAAACGCCTCCACTCCCGAGTGCCCGCGGCTTACCGGGCCTCGCATCCCCCGCCGCTCCGTCCCTCAGCGCTGCTGCTGCTCCCGCTATCGCCGCCGCCACTGCCTCCCTGGCGCCGCCTTCGTTATTGCCCGCCCGCGTGGAAAAAAAGAGAAAAATTCCTCCCCGCACTTGCCTCACGCCTTCCTCTCTCTGCCTCGCAGCTCGCTCGCTTCGTTCTCAGCCAAACCCGCTACCCGCTTGCAAGGCTTGGAGGGAGGTGTTTACCGACACGGGCCTTCCCTCCTCCCCTTGCCTACCGCCCGCGCTCTCGTTTGGTCCACTGACACTCACCCCCGCCAATGGCAAAGGAGCACGGGGCGGAGGAGGCCACGCCCTTAGCCCCATGGGAACCAATGGGGCTAAGCGCCCGCCTCCTCTCCCCCCTCCCCACACACACCGCGCTCGCTTTGCGCCACGATGGGCTGGAGATGGGCGGGAGTCTCCGCGGCCTTCGCCACCGTGACTCCACCCCCACGCCCGCCTTTTTCTCGCTGCTTGGCCCCGCCCACTGCACGCCCAGGCTCGGTTGGCTTTGCAGTTCCCGAGCAACCACAGGGGCCGTGATGGAGACGGAGGAGGAGGAGGCGGCGGCTAATGCTGCTGCTTTTACCTCTGTTGCCGCCGCCGCTGCCTGGCAGCTGGAGCCGGGAGAGGGAGAAATGGAGGGGGAAAGGGGGGCTGGTAGCAGCAGGGAAGTCGTGACTGGGAAGTAGCAGCTGCTGCTGCCAAGGAGAGAGGGAAGGGTGGGGAGAGGGGCAGGGAGGGGGGCTGGGTGCTCGTGAGGGACGCATAAGCGGCACCAGCAGCTGGTGCTGTCATGACTAAGCAGCGTATGTGACACAGGCAGAAACAGGTGGGGGCTCAAAACAGGCAGGGGAGATGAATATATATATATATTCATCTTGTTCGTCGCTCTCTACCACGGATTCCCCTCAGGGTGGATGCTCTTTCGTCCCCCTCCCCACATTTTATGACTACTGTTGCATGTGCCAGGAAGGAGAGGAGGGGAGGGGAGAGGCGCCAAGGATGCAACGTGCAGGAAACTGCTAAGCATGTTTGCAGTGTAGGTCAGTAGTATGTACAGGCCTTCCTCATTAATGCATCTTTTCTTGGTGGATTCTCTCCCCCCCCCCCAGTAGCTCGCAAACAGGGCTGTGCAGTGGCGTAGCGTGGGGGGTGCAGGGGGGGCCGGCCGCACCGGGCGCAACACCTGGGGTTAGGGCAAATCAACAGGTTAGGGGGCGCAAATCCACGGGTTAGGGAGCGCAAATCCACGGGTTAGGGGGCGCAAATTAATTGCCTTGCCCCGGGTGCTGACAACCCACGCTACGCCACTGGGGCTGTGTACGAATTACTGACTTAAAATGCAGATAGATCATTCTTGTGTGCATGCGCCCCCCATTTGGATCGAAGCTGGTGGGTGTGCAGTATTACTTCGTAAGAAACGACAGGATAGGTACACTGTCAGTATGGATTGTGGCAAACCGTGGTGTGTGCATCACTTCCCAAACCGGTGGTGGGAGGAGGAGCACGCTGGATAGGAATGTGTACAAAGCCCTAGTACCAGATATCAGTACACTGAATTGTAAACCCATTAACTAGGAAGTTAAGTCACATTGAATTCATAAACAGTGGAAATTAATTTTGGGTCAGGATACTTAGATTTCCAGTCATTAACTCCCCTGTTTATTGCAATAGGTGTTTTGTTACTTACTTCAACTGAAGCAAGATTGACCTTCGAGGATGTAATCTTCAAAACATTTCTTTAGAAGCAACTCCTGTTCAACACAGTACTCTGGAAAAGTCTGAAATCTCCTTACCTGAAATCAACTATCAGTGAATAGCCTCCTTTATTCAAGTAGTTTGTGGGTTCGTCATCCAAAATGTTCAGATAATTGGAATATTAGATTGTGAGAATTGTAAGGCCACATGCTGGATTTGTGTATTCTGGATACAATGCATGAGCTATAGTGTCTCCCCCAAGTTAGATAACTAGAACACCTACCTCACCATCACCAATAAAATAAATTATACAATTCATATATATCCAGAGGACTCGCATGATACATGATCATATCAATTTAAGTCTGCATGTGTCTGGATGGTTCAGTATGTGACAGTTCCACACAAGTTGCTGAAAGGCAGCCTTTGCCAAGCTTTCATTCTCCAGCTGTTTGGGGCTACAACTTCCACCAGCCTGGTCGAAGTTGCAGTTAAAACATCTGGAGAGCACCAGCTTGTCAAAGACAATTTTAAGAGCATATAGAGAGCAGTGGTGAAAATTAAGTTTTTTTCACCTGGGTCAAAGACCCAGTTTGGCATACCCCCCTCCCACGCATTTGTGTACACACACACACACACACAGAGAGAGAGAGAGAGAGAGAGAGAGACTGGGAGCCTCAATGGTGCCCCTCTAGAGGCTTCACCTGAGGCAAAAAAAACCCAGCTTGCCCCCCCCCCCATGACACTGTAGAGAGTCCTGCTGAGTCCTGTTTCCTCTTGTGACCTGTCAAATGCCTCTAGGGAACCCACAAAAGAAAATGAGGGCAATACCACCCACCTGTATTTTTCCAGCAACTGGTTGTGCAAGCTCTCATGGAAATAATGGAAACAGCAGGCCATCAAGTCTAGCTAATTGCAGCAAGATAGTATCTGCCTTCTAGCAAGCCAAAACCAAGGCACATCACAACTGCAAACCTAACCATACTTACTAGGAAGGCCTACTGAACTCAGTAGGTATTCTGAATGTGTATACTTAGGTTTGAGCAGTAAAGTGCTTACAGAGAACAGTACTGTAATTACTGATTGCCTGTGTAAGCTTTGTAAGGTGCCATGTACATGGTGGGCGCTGTATAAATGATGATAACAATGGCAGGTAGCCAAGCCACACACTAAGGCAACCCAAGAAAAACAAAACACAGGTGCTTTCTCATGTGACCTAGGGCAACATTCCTTCTTCGTTTGATGGTTATGGATCTGGATCACAGCCATGGATATCAAATGTGTTTCTAAGACTTCAATCCTAGGCACACTTATCTAGGAATATGCCCCTATGAACACTCACCTGCTGGGAACAACTCAATGTGGCCTCCTACTAAGTAGATGTGTATTGTATTGCACTCCCACATGAGTATGCTGCCAAAAACCTTTAAACACAATCCACTTTGGGTATGCCACCTGCCAGGATACCTATAACATAGTCTTCATAATTTTAGCGTAGATCCTATGTGTGTAGGAAGGCTTTCAAGCACAGGTGTCCACAGGGGGAGGAGAACTGGTCTCCTTGGATGAACCATAATCCCCAGGTTCCCAGCTTTCATTTATGTTAGAAAAGAACAAGTTTCTATCATTTGTAAAACCTGAGAGATAAGGCAAAAGGTGCAGATACTACTCTCACGTGTTTGTGTGAAATTGGCATGATCCTCCCTTTTAGCATTTACCTACCTGCCCCCGCCCAAAAAGCTACCTTCAGATGCTCATCCTTGCAAAATATCTAAAACTAATAATAAGCGGAATGTAGAGGTACATTCTCATATGCTTTAACATGCAATACACTTATTTTAATCATACCTTTGGGCTCTTTCATAAACTACATTAATAATGCATTTTTTTGTCTCTTGTGCACATTAATTTTGAATTTATCTATGTGTGTGACATGGTACATATTGGGAACTGCCGTTTTTGGATTTGATTAAATAACAGAACCTGGAAAATTAGGTCTTAAATTCAAAATGTCTGTATGCGTGTTCTGTGATCAGTCTTAAAGATGTGTATTATTGTGGGCCAGATGCATAACAGCTGTAAACCTGTGTGTGTATATTCTATCCTACACCAGGAAATTGTGTTGATAGTACAATTAAGAATGCAGATACACTAACTTTTAGCATGTATAACAGAGTGACACACTTATGAAAAGCTACAGGAAATGCAAATAGCAATTTGAACATCATTATCAAACCACCCCGGTTGTATTCAAGGATTCTATAATCTAAAACAGGCATAGGCAAACTCGGCCCTCCATTTGTTTTGGGACTACAACTCCCATCATCCCTAGCTAACAGGACCGGTGGTCAGGGATGATGGGAATTGTAGTCTCAAAAAATCTGGAGATCCGAATTTGCCTATGCCTGATCTGAAAGGAACTACAGCCTAACAGGAGAAACGGAACAAGCTCACTCTGCAAGCCACTCATACCTTTGGTTCCTACCTTTGTCTTTTAACAAGGCATCAAACAAAAATAAGAAACCTCTTAGTGGCTGCAGTGGCTTCTGGTTGCCAAAACAAAAGGTACCTGTGCTGTCAGGTCTCAGCTGCTTTTCAGGCACAAAGAAGTACCATCACTGCTCATCACTCTCCTGATACAGCATCTTTTTTCTTTTATTTTACTAAAGAGAACCACAAAATCTCTGTCCTTGTTTCCACCAGCCAAAACTGAAAGGCAGTACGTACACTGTCATGATGATGTGTGAGTGGGAGTTCTCCTCTTGCCTGATGCACAGGGACAGGAGATCATTAGAGGGGTACCTTGGGCCATAGCTACTTACAGGTGCTTTGAGGATGAAGAGCTACTCTGGCTACCAGTGGCTTCTTCCAATGGGATGACCTACTGAAAGGCATATACCGGGACATTGACTAATCCATCTTGGCCGGAACTCTGCTACAGCTCTAGAGCACACTGTATGTGGCTTAATGGTTAATCCAGACTCAACCAATACGTCTGAACTTATTTTTGCAGTTTGCACATTGTGTGTGTGTGTGTGTAAGGATGTCATCACGCTGCAGTTTGCATGGCCACCAAACTGCAATATGCCACTGGAACAGCAGGTGGGCAGGAAAGTGAGCAAGCAGCACAGGGAGGCTTTTCTCTCTCATCTCCCACAGCAGCTGCGAGGTGAAATGGGAGAGGGAGGGTGGTGACTTGGAGAAGCTCCAAGGAAAGGTGAGGTGGTTTGGCTGAGCTTTATGATCAGGGAAATAGTTTTGGAGAGGGGGTGGGGTAGGCAGGGTGGGCAAGTCAAGCGAGCAGAAGCAGCAGCCCTGTGTGTGTAAATAAATGCCTGCAGAGAACAGCATAGTATTATGAAAGTACTTTAATCAAAGAACTCCAATTAGATGTCTATTTTGCACAGGTGTAAAAATAATTACATAAGAAGCATTTTTAAGGATCACAGCTATTGCTGCATGTGAAATCATTCTTAAATGCATGAGATCAATGGAGTTTTATATGAATAAAAACAGCAGGACTTGGCACAAAGACAACACCAAACTAGTCATTATTCG